AAATTTTTTATGTTTTGGTGTTCATATTTGTCGGACAATCGTCTTTGTTTATGTATTTTAAGTATTATTATATATATTATTTTTAAAACCTACTTGGATATTCATTTATTATTGCACTATAAATTGTGTGAATTATGATATAATGGAGTGTTGTTACTAATACTACAGCAGTGGTTCTTACTTCTTAACCTTTTTAGAACCACGGAAATTTTGAAATTTTGTCGGAACACTTTAGCCAAGTTTACGGAGCTCCGGTGTTCCGCGGAACACCGGTTAAGAACCACTGTAACTACAGTAATGTGCAGACTGTATTTTAAATGGAAGCTTTTTATCAATTGAAAAAATTGAAACCCTAGCGCCTAAAATGTCGGATAGTCTTTAACCACGACGACCTGTACGTTATTATTAATGTGCGCCGACACAAAAAACTGTCGATCACACCACGCCGGTATAAGATTGAAACGGGCAACTGCTCCATATAAGTAGATACCTACTATAGGCGATCCGGCGAAAGTGTCCATGCACACTACCAATACCTATATTATTATAAAGACACCATTGTTTTCGGTCGGACAGTAGGAGTGTATATGTATAATATGTGTGGGCACGTCATATAGTAATATGTGTGCCAGCGCCGGAGAGATCATATTATTATCGTGTATAATGTAGTTCTGTATGCTATTACGAGTTACGATTATTATCGTGCATTAGTGACGCGCGTGTTTAGTAGGTCCCCGTGCAGAGTAGTGGTGCTACACGTCTGCCGCTAGAACCCGTTCACCTGGTACAGTGGTACAACATTATAATATATATATATATATATAGGTATAATAATATTGTTACATATAAAAATATTAACCGTCTAGTGTCCACGGCTATGCCTGTACACAATTATATAGATATACGATATTATTTCTGGCCGGTTGCCCTGCAGTCTGCGGAGATATATCCACCTCTATATATGGCACCTATTATATACCATCACTCGACACGCGTGCGGCGGCGGCGCCGCCAGAAATAAGGACCACTTTATTAGTTAGTATACTGCAGTCATTCGGCCATTGGGTGTTTTTCGATCGAGAGACAGTCCGCCTGAATATACGTTTAACGCGCTCGTACGAGAAAACGCCGTGACTAATAATATATATAGTATAGGTCGTGTATAGCAGTRGCAGCCAGCGCAGGTACACTGCAGTCTATCGACAGCGGGCTCGTGGACCGATGACCTTATATATTTTGTATTGAGTAGGCACCTGCAGAGTGCACACCGTTTGTAATACTATATACCATATTACCGCATAGAGCTGTAATAATATATAAAATAAAATAAAAACAGTGTTGTTGCGACTCGTGTCCCGCTAGACGCGCGTTACCTGTAAATAGTCGTACAGTTTTCCGTTAAATAATTACCTATTTAAGTGTTTATGTAGGTCGGACACGGCGGCGCAACGGTGTCCGGAACGTGTGGAAATAAAATGTCGGTTCTTGCGATATTATTCTTGGTGTCGTTAGGCGTATTCGTCGGCGGTCAAAGTCTGGGGAAATGTCCGAAAAAGGAGACCATGAAGACGTTCGATCCGAAGGAGGTAGGTAGTGTAATATTTAAGTATATAGGAATGATCAGTGCCGGATAGACAAGGTATCGGCCCACCGAGTTTTAGTTTTTTAACCGGCCCTAAAAGGGGCCTTTTACAAATAAAAATGTATAAATTAATCTAGATTTGACGTAGCGCACAGAGTTAAATAAATTTATTCGAATTTGTGTTATGAAATAATTGCCCAAACACTTACGATCGACATTTTTTTTGAGCGGCCCAGCGAGATTTTCTCGGTAGTAGCTCGCCTAACCAATCCGGCCCTGGGAATAATACCTATAATAGGTAGGTAGGTACTTATAAACAGAGCAACCGACTATTATTGTAATTTTGTAATAATATATTTATACCAATACACCAAWATTAGGCATGGTTATTAGCACATTATATACAGTTGAGTACTTGAGTCTCGACTCTCGATAACTCGAACCTCAAATCTCAACAGCTCGAAAACACGAAAACCTYGATAACTAGAATTTTTTTCTTGACTTTTGAAGTGTTTTTATAAGTTATCATATTTGAGGTATATAAGTAGAATTTATTTGTGTGCCCCTTGACCCCTTATTGAGATTCGAACTGTCTAAACTCGACTGCAGTATTGGGTACTTATACGGTTAAATATATATATATATATATATATTCCATAAATAGTTTAAGTGACCAGAGATGTAAGTTAACTTAGTTAACCTTAATGTGGTTTTCGGTGGTTAACGGTTAATAATAACTTCAGGAGAGAAGTACGTCGCTTATTTTTTTTTAAGCCCGCACAGGAGAAATAAAAACTTCATTCGATTTTATTTTCAGTTTGAAGGACAATGGTACGAAGTGGAGAAAACATTTTACATGATGGAGATGACTGCTAGTTGTACTTCTTTCAATTTTACTTTAAATCCTGATGGAACATCGTACAAAGTGCATATTGGAACGAAAAACAGAATGTAAGCGATATACTATAATAGTATAATATATATTATGCACTAGAGTCTAGAGGTATACCAACTATATTATAATATTATATGATGTTGTACAAATTCAAATAACATGTTAACCCTTTTTTTTTATCATAGCCAATAATCTGTTATTGTGCAGGCTTATCTACAAAAATAAAATAAAAATACCAACAATATCAATACAAATAAGTATTAAAAGTATTACAAAGGATATACCTACTATATACACAAGTGATTTCAAAATTATTATTTCTTTTACATAATTTGATGAAGTATATTTTAAAACAACATTTTTGAAAAAAAATTTACTAGGTATTTTTAAAGWTTTTATTCTTTAATGAGATGAAACATTTTTTATTTTATATCACAAAGCAGAATATTATTCCGAGTATCTGAGTATTTTGTATCCACAAAAATAATATTTCAAGTTGCTATTATAGTTCGTTATTGTTATAAGCATTTAAAGATCAGATGAACGGAGTATAAGTGATGATGGTCCTCTGCTGTACCCTAGAAAATGTTGTCTTCTATACTCTGCTGATCTGAATTTAAATAGTTATAGTTGTAAATGTATAACTTTACCTAATGAGTTACTTCTCCGAATTTTTTCTGATTTTTAAAGATTCATGAAATATCCCGAATACTAATTTCTATTTTCGTTTCGAAATATGAAATTAAAAAAATTAAAATGTATGGTGTCGTTYGAAATGGTAAAAAAAAATATTTTTAGAAATCTTGTTTAAAGTTATTTAAATATAACTCAAAGGATAATCCAATAAGTTAGCTTTAAAATAAAATCTTTTTTTCAAGATCGTTATTGGAGTAAAAATTGAAGCTATATACCTAATACGTTGGAATAATGCGTATACATAGGATGTGTACGACTTTAGGTGTATTTTTCTTCGAAAAAACGATAGTGTGGAATTCCCTTATAAAATAGTTATTAATTTATTATTCATACATACAAAGTATCATTTTAATATTATTTATAATGGAAATTTGAAAGTAGCTATAGTATTATAATAATATATAATATCTAGGTATGTCGTATGTCATGTGATGTTTCGTATTTTCGTTTTAAATTTCTATACATTCTTTTGTCCTTGAATAATCATGTATAGTTATACCTACTGATGTGATATTTACCCAATTAAATAACATAATATTCAGTTTTTCGAAAGCAAATACTCATATTGGATTATCAAACACGACGTGTTACGATAGACCATTTAGAACCAGGGGTAGCCAGCGATTAAAATCGTAGCACAGCATATAAATATATAATATATGTGTAGATAAATTGTTTAAGATGTTATTAATAGAGCAGGTRATCTGAAGTTTGGYCACCCCTGCTATATAGTCATATAGACTACCTACATRTAGAATAGAGAACAGAAAACGTTTATATATACATGCGGTGGTCTTGAAAACCTTAWTTCATTTAAAAAAACACATATCTAATTCCAAAATGTTATACGTATTAATATGTAATGAAGAATTRAGATTCTATTATTGTGACTTAATATATAGGTATGCACCCCCACCACAAAATATTATATATTTATACAGGGGCGTAATCAGGATTATGAAGGCGGAAGGGGAGGGGGGTTTAAGTATAAATTTAATTAAGTTMTTTTTACAGTTTTCGTTTATAAAATGTAAATAATACATTTATAAAGGCAATGTACGTAAAAATAAAAGAATATTGTATTAAAAAATACCTCAATTATACTCGTATATATAGGTAATAGGTATTTCATGAAATTTTCATACACCGATTATTATAATATGTTTATATATTATATAAACCCTATCTTTCAGTGACCTTATAAGCCTATAAGACTATAGTCTTTTATATATATGTATATTATGTATATTATGTATATTTTATAAAATCAATGTGTAATATTTACTATTTAAATCTGCCTAAATTCATTTCGATATACCACTAATATGATTATTATTTTGCTGTCAGAACGGGAAACCCGAATATTTTTTCTGGAATGGCGACCCTTATATCAAAAAGCAAATCTGTACTTAACTACCAAGCTGAAAGTCGACTACCCGGGTTGTTTTCACGTATGATACCTACTACTGGTCTGTATCATATCATGTACACGGATTACCATAACTATACAGTTCTGTGGTCGTGTACAAGTTTTGGTCTTTTCCACACAGGTAAAGTAAATTTAATGTATTATCCTTTAAACCCATTATCGGCGTAATTAGTAAAATATTTTTTTATAATCTGTAATTAATATCACTGCGTAGGTACGAATTGAAGCCCAGGTAAGTAACCTGATTACCTAAATTACTGATAAATTGATTCAGGGTCAATTAAAAAGTAATTACAAAAGAAATGATGCACGCGTATAACCATAATAGCATAATCTCATTGGGCTCAGATTTAGGCAGCTGATACTAATTTTTACCTTCCAATCATTACTTTTGTGCTCGAAAAAAAATCCGACTAGATGAATGGACATGACAATTATTATTGACAACATTTAAATTGCCATGGATAGTGGGTATGATGACGAATAGTAAATAAATAATAACGATTAATCAAATTTAGTAGGTGGGTAACAACAAAAATATCAAAAGAAAAATACTTCTGGAGACCACTTCTCTGTTGTGTCTCCCGAGTCTTGGATAACGTTAATAAGCTGTAGTTTAGGAATCAACTATATGTGTAGGTACAGTGTACATGTATTGCCGTTTTTGGCATCAAAATAATTCATACGTCACCCAAAATAACTGGTTAKGTAATCTATTATTTATAGTAGGCACACAAAGTAAGTCTCAGGAAACAACTCACTCTCACCAATCGCACATATTATAGAGAATAGTTACGATGTACTGATGGACTGCGGTATCCGTATATTATTATAATGGCCATATTATCTACCAACGGAATATATTAAGTATTAATGTTCGGTAATAATAACTAACAATTTATTATTGTATAGGTACTTTGTGCATAAACACTCGCGGTTTTAGAAAAATATAAATCTAATTCATATAATTGTTTGCAGATATTATTTGGGTTTTGGGAAGAGAACGAGATCTTACTGCGACATCCCGGGCGGAACTTTACAACTTATTATACGAACTGAACATTAATCCCGATCGACTAATATTAGCTAAACACGAAAAATGTGAAGAATTTTTTTGAATTAAATTTAAAATGAAACGCAGAAGTTTTAAATTGTAATAAATATGCTAGTCAATACAGTAAATTAAATTTGAATAATTTGTACCAATGTTAGATATAGGTATATAATACGTAGTAATAGTGTATATTCGCAAATGGACACTAATCGACAAATAATATAATAATGTGCAATTGCTTGATCGTTGAAAAAAAACCTGTTTTATATTTTGTTATATTGTGTTCGAGTAAAATTAAAAATCATAAATTAGTATGCAAAACGGTTAAAAAATTCACATAATTACAGCAGGTACTACTTTAAAAAGAAAAAAAAACTGTTATTTTTTTATTAAGTTGAAACTAATTATTTCAATATGTTTATAGGTACCCTTAGTTTTTTAGTTATTTTAGTTTTCGAAAACATTTTGAAATTCTTAAAGCCTGAATCTGAACTTGACTAAGTGTGTTAAATTTTTTTTATATTACATTTTAATCACATATACACATTATTCACTAGTATATTACTAATTAAGGTACCTATGTAAATTATTATAATTAGATATCCAGTTTTCAATTTTTATAAAATATTATTTAACTATTCATTTTTTTTTCTTGGAGAATACAGAACAAAATCAGATTATTTTAAGCATTTATTATATCATGTACCTATCTATCTACTATTCACTATGTTTTAGTGTAAATTGTAGACAAATAATCAGGTATTTTTCTCTATATTAAAATATATGGGTCACTTTCACTGCTTACGTTTTATTACAGTGTTCTAAAATTACTTTTAAGAAAAATAATGACCATAAATTACAACATATTTTGTAAAATATAATTTTTAAATTAATAAAGAAACATTAAAACATAAATATCAGGTATTATTACTAATTATTTAGCTTTGTAAATATAAAAGAAATTGAGATTATTGAAAGACATATAGTGTGTCATCAAATGTACAACTGCAACTTGAAACACAATACAAAAAGGAATACCATTAATTAAAAATAATTTTTATTATATGTATTTACAGTCTTAATAAAATGTGTTAAAAAAAATACAATAAATATTGAATATATAATAGAGAATCTAAACTAATAAAAGTCCTCTCTATTTGTATTTGCATTTCCTTGATTTATAATTTGCACCTGACTATGATATAACTCAGCAACCTGAAAATTAATTATGCAATAATATTATAACAAACGTAGTAAAGTTCTCATGAGTTTCTAGTAATATAAAATATTATCTATGAAAAAAGATAGGTATGTCTTATGAGAAACTGGTTACATAAAATGTTATTATATTATTTCAAAACAATTATAGCCATCCACTGTGTTAGTAAGTTAATTTATATTTTAAATACAAGGTAAAGTAGGTCAAAATGTATGAACATAATGAAAGATGAAACTTATAATTAGGTATTGTTTTTATCATCATCAATCATTTGGTTATTTGCGAGAATTTAGAATTACAATTTTTTTTATAAGATTCATGTATTCTAAATTAGAAATAACTGAAAACAGAATTTGTTACGAGTTACTGATAAAATTGCAATACATCAAGGGGAACAAAGATAAGATAATGATATGATATGACATTTTTAGGCCAGGTTGTCTGTTGAGTCTATTATTAATTAAAATGATTAATCTGATATTTTAATTAAATCATAAGCCATAAGCTAATATATGGTGCAAAATAGAATTTCTTTATTGTACTGAAGAAATTTTTTTCTAGTTTTTAACACGTTAAATGGACAAACTAGATAGTGTTTTTATCATAGTCTATCAAAATTAGGGGCCGGGAACCTAAGGTTCATTAACATATAATCTGCGACTTATTGAAAAATGTATCAATACCTCGAGAACCTTAAAATATAGATTTTATTTTCAAAAATTATAAAATTCTATATCTACGACAAAATAAAATAAAAAGGTTGTTTGGTTCCTGGACTGAACAACTTGTGCGGCTCTCTAGATATCACGGTTTAGTATTTTTTTTTTTAAATGACTATTTCCTACGAAAAGGTTCTAGCAGTGGCGGCGCGTAAGGGTAGACAATGAGACATTGTCTACCCAAAAATATCAAACAATTTAATTTTAAAAATTAGTTGTTTATTATAATATGATACCTACTATATATGTATTTTATTTCTTCATAATTTTATAAATAAAATGTTATTAACACTGATTTGTCTCTTAAGTGTCTGTGTGAGTAACGAGTATGATTAAATATATATAGTATAATTATATTTATATCTTATCTATACCGTAATCGCTCCGTTGTCGCCGTCAAATCGGACGAGACATATTGAATTGAGTCTCACTATTGATGATGGGTGTATGACAAGGTAAACGGGGGACGTAGTGGGGTATTACCAAAATTATATGTATGGAAGAGACATGTCTCAACGTAATACTTTAATAATTTAATTGCATTCCGACTGTGCTTAATAGCACATGTTTAATGTTTATAATTTTTTCTTAATGAAGTGATATACATTTAAAACTTAATATGTCAGATATTATTGATATTATTTTAAATAAAGGTCTTGGTTCTTTTTCGTATGAAGAATAATGCTTTAGCTATCAAAAAAAAAATGTTAGGTGAATTATCAAAAGATCCAACATTTATAAACAATGTAATAGATGTGTTCGCAACAAAACAAAATCGGCGAATTGATTTAAATTATATCAAAATATAATTATTTTATGTAATTTACTTTTTTATGATGATCTAATTTTTAAATAAATTATATATAACACCATATCTTTGGTTGTCTTGTTGTCTACCCTATAAAATTGTTCACGCGCCGCCACTGGGTTCTAAACCCCTGATCTAGATACTAGTAGTTTGTATTAAATCACATCACCTACTATTATAATACTTCATTTATTAGTACAAGTCATAAGGTCTATGAATTAAATATAAATTTTTATTAAACACCACTGTCTCAGAATTTGAGATMAATAACCAATTTATAAGGCTAAAAAAAGTAACTTAGATGACAAGTTGTTGTAACATTTGTTACATTATTTTATATTACAAACTAAATGTTTAATATAATGTTTAGGTTTTAGGTACCTGTTGAGCCGAAGTAGATTGTTCAACTGACTTATCATCTCGTATACGTAAAAACCTTGGAAATCTTAACGAAATTCCTTTTTCAGGATCTACAATACCTATTGCTGCTCTGTGTACTGGAGATAATGACAAATCTGCACACTTAATTTCCCATACCTGGGCCGTCTCAAACCAATGATCTGGCTCATGGCTTTGATCAAAGCGGTAATAACTTTTAGGCCCATCAATAATATGTTGTTGGAAAAATTCCGTATGGGTTTGTAAGTCTTCATCACTAAATCCTGTTCCAATCTAGAAAAAAATAAAAATATTTATAATTTAAATATGTATCTTTATGGTTTACATTTATATTAATATTTTTAATTATTTAATTACTTTGCATATACTCTGATACTCTTCACTATCTGGATCATAACAAGCTAATAGAAAACCACCATAAGTACCAGTACGCTTCCCACGACCTAAATAACCTCCCAAAACTACTAAATCTATAGTATCACCAACACCATCCAAATAATCTTTTTTTAATTTTAACCAATTACGTGAACGTTTGGCTATTTCATAAGTAGCTTCCTCTTCCAATGTTTTAACCATTAAGCCTTCACAATTTCCTACAAAATGTATAAATAAATAAATACATTTTGTTAAAATAATAATTAATTATTAAAAACAAAAATAGCTATTCATTATTATTTGTTTTATTTTAATGCCAAAGATACATATATATTTGAAATTTAAGTTAATATAATAATATTATTATTATTACCAAAAACTGTTACTCAGTTATATTCATGTAATAGTAAATATCTTAGCATTTATTTCAATACTATTATATCGTTATTAAGTTATAATTAAATGTGTACCTTTTATAGATTCTTCTAGAAAATCTTGAACTTCTTCCATTTTGGTTGKGTCTAAAGATGTAGCTAACAAAAATTGTTCTTCTACTTCAATAAAGTTTTCTCTCAATAATTGACGACGTTCACAGAAAGGTTTTTTAACTAAAGATTCTCCATTAAGGTAGAGTAAATCAAACATATATACACATACTTGTACCTTAATATCTGCTTCATTGGCGTTCTAAATTATTCGAAATATCAAATATTTTAATATATTTTACAAAGCTGTTTAAAAATATCTTTATCAATTTACCTTTCGTTTACGAGTACTTAATATTTGAAATGGCATTATTTTTTTATTTTCCTTATCCCATGCAACAGCTTCTGAATCCATCACAAAAGATTTAACATTAGGACCTTTAACGGAATCTAAACGATTAATAATGTCCGGATATTTACTAGTATTATTTTCTTGATTACGACTATAAATACAAATGTTTCCATCTTCTGTCAAATGAATCTATAAATAATGAATAAAACTAGTTACATTTGATTATAAAATGAAAAAATAAAAATAAAAATAATATACTTGAGCTCTTTCTCCATCATACTTCCATTCACATGTAAACTTCAATCCATCAAATCTACTAAGCACTTCATGTACGCCTTTAGTTGGATGTGCTAACATTGGTTTTAAAGGTATTCCAGGAGTTAACTTACAATTTTCTGGTAACGCGCTAACACCCACTTCTAAGATAATAGGAATTATTACATCAAGATTTGGACTTTCGCTAAAAATATAAATTAAGAATTTTTTAGTCAAAAATAAATTTGTACATAAGATATAACTTGTTATATTACCAATAAGTTGTTTTTATGATTAAAGTATTGGCATCATAAGTTTTCTTGAATTTTTCATCAGACATAGTTTTGGCAGCATTAAGTATTTTAGGTGGAAAATCTTGAGGTGGTGGAGTCATTGTACAAGCTAAACCAAGAGCCTAGAAAAATCATAATATGATAACATTTTTAATTTTACAATACATGTACATTTAACTTCTATTTTAATATCAAAAGTAATAACTAATAAGTAATTGCTAATTAACTATTTAAGTGTTTTCCATACAATATATAAATTACTGAGATGCTGTTTAGTTCATATTAAGATCAACAAATAAATATTTTATTTTAATATAGTATAATATATAATTTAAATATTATCACCTGTAGAACTGATTGTTCAGCAAGTCCTATTCTTAATTTACCAGCTAATGATCGCATCAAAAATCTTGCTTCAGAATCTTGGCATGCAATGAACATTGATTGAATTTTATCAAGTTTTTTAACAGTGACCTAAAATATTTGAAATGTATTGTTTGAGATAAAATATTTAAAGAAAAAAAAAATAGAAACTAAATACTGTATGGCAGTTAAGTACATTTATTAATATTAAATATTAAGAAAACATATTAATAACTTAATACTGCCCTGCTAAGCAAAAGTGTCGTAAAAATCAAATTATTAGTTTTGATAAAAATGCAGTTTTACTAGAGTAAAATGCTTTATATAAATTTATATAAATAAATTATTTAAATATGTCAACAAATTATATCAAGTACAATAATTATAAACATGCATTTTATTACAAATTAATAAATTTGATCGTTAAATTAAAAAAAAAAAATCATATAATGCATTATAGTTTTAGGACAAATTAACCAATTTTATTTCCAAATAATATTGAAGATAACAATTTGGAAACTATTAACATAATAGATTGCCGTAACTTCAGAAAAAAAGTCGATAATAACTCAGGTAGAACATGGAAATTTTATGCAAAAACACCGTATCTATAAACATATTTACAGTGTTTATGCTTAGTAAGTGTAAAATGCGGTGTTCTTACTTAACACTTCTAATTTTTTTTTGTTACCTACGGCACGTTTTTAATCTAGATAATTAATTTTATTGCCTATTTAAAGTAATTTTAGGGGTATTTTATTTACATTTATAGTATAAAGCTGATAAACATATCAGATGCCGTAACTAATTCATTTTTTTAGAGTTACGGCACTTTTGCTAAGCAGAGCAGAATATACATACCGCATGACCAGTCATTTCTGAAATATCCTTTAATTTATCAAATACACTTTTCACAGTTAACCGGGCTGGTTTAAACATTGTTTTTTGGTTACTTTTACTTTTTTCTGCAACGATTCCTAAGTCACCAGTTTTTTTAACTTCAGCTTTTACTTGTGCCATACTTCTTCCTGTTGTTTGAACTATAGCCTTGAAATATATATAAAATATATAGTAATAAATAATTATTGTATTCTATACAAATAGTACAAGTACCTTTAAAAGTGTAGTCTCAGCAATGCCTAATTCCAAACCAATATAATCGGGACAAACTTTATTTAAACACAAGTATACACTTGGTAATAAATCTTTAGGATTAATTGCAATCACTGAACGGAAATAATTTGAAAGTATTTCAATAATTTTCAATCTACCACTAACCTCTTCAATGCACAATAAAGTTTTTGTAAGTGCACTATATGGAGTCCTATTGAAATTACATTTTTAATTTTAGTAAATATTATACAATAAATCATTTTATTTCATTTAAATTTGATTAAAATAAAATAAAATAAATTGATTCAAAATAAAAAAAGATATTTCTATTTTTTTAAAAAACAAATTAATCAAAACACAGAAATATAATCCAAGATAGATTTGAAATGAAATGAAATATAATATTTTTTTTTTTACCCTGAAAATACTAACAGTTTTAACTTTTTACATTATACATTTTTACTCACGGTTGGTTATGACACCAAAAAGCATCCATTAAAGGATGGTAATTTTTTTTTGTCGGATCATATTCACTTTCAGAAACTTTATGTTTCAAAGATTCGTCAACATCTTTTGTAGGAGACTGTTCTTCACTTGATTTGTCTGATTTTTCCAAAGATTCTATTTTACTTGGCTTTTTTGATTTCTTTTTCAATTTATTCTTAGCTTTTTCATCAATGCTTGGTTTATCAGTATCAGAATTATCTGTCTCGATATTGCTTGGTTCAGTTTTAATGATTGGCAGTGAACCTTCTTCGCATTGTGTTTTACTAAATTTAAATTGAATGTTTAATAGGTGAACCATATTTTGATTGACGTAATTTCAAATATTTATTAATACATACATTTGAATTTGGTCTTGAACATCTTTTATAGGTTGGTCATTTGTTTTTGTTGTTCCACTATCACTTTCCGATAATTTACTATCATTTATAAGAGATTTATCTACATCTTTTAAAGGAAACTGTTCTTCGATAGATTCTTCTAATTTTTCATTAATTTGTTTATTCGATAGTGTATTGTTTGCACATTTTTTTTTACTAAATTGAATAAATGAAAAACATTAATAACAATGTTTTCAGAAATAATATAATTATTTACCTGTCAGATGTTTCTTCATCACTATCACTAAATAATACGGCATGTTTTTTTCTTTTTCCATAAGTCTTTATTGGACTGGTGTGCACAACTTCTAGATCTCTATCAAAACAAATTGTACATTAATTAAGAAATTTTAAATACAATTTTATAATATGTAATATTAACATTATATCAATTATATTGTTAGATTAAGTCATACACTTAATTTCTCAATTTAATATCTATTATAAAACATTAATTAGGGAACAGTATGATAAAATAWGATAAATCAGCAGTTTCCAAGTACCTATTAATGCAAATTTAAATTCTGTACCAGCTGTCGTCTAATTAAGAAATAGGAAACTAATGCATTTATTAATCTTTAGTATATCAGAAGTCTAATAATAAAAGTAGTATACTTTTTTAGTTTTGTAAGACCAACCTGAAGAATGATTATAATTATAATATTKAAGAAATATATTAAAAATAATTAACGTTGTGAAATACATATTAACTTACTCTGGAGATGTCAAAGTTGTACTCGTACTAAATGTTAAAACTGGTTGATCTTTTTCCTTTTTAATTCCATTTTTAGGGCCAAAATAAGACCTGAATAAAACATTTATCATTACACTTTCATTTTTATATACCTAGAAAACTAAAAACAATATAAAAAAAACTTACATTAAAGTCCTTTGCGTCATTTTATTGTTTCTCAATAACAAAGTATGATTGCAATAAAAGTTACTCAATAACGTTGAAGAAAACCGCCAAAATACTGTTTGCATCCTGTCCTTTGGTTAAAATGTTATCACTGAGTTATCAATAATGTTGCTTCCCAAATCCTTATTTCTATTTCCATACTGGCGCATCCAACAAGCCCCACTGCCCCTGTCTATACCATCAGCTGCTGACCCAATCGGCAATCACAACAAAATTGGAATTCGAAACTTTTGTAAATTTGACCTGGCAACACTGTAATTAATAACTTAAATCGTGGGTTCAATGAATKAATTGAAATATTATATTCAATTTTTCAGATTCTTTTTTAAAATGTCACAGCTCAATAATTCATTACTTCAAAAAGTATTAGAGATTATAATACCAAATCAATTATGATATTTTGAGTTACAGATTAATCCGTGGACTATTGATTACAAAGAAATTATTGTGTATTTCCCCTGTTATTTGTAAAGTGAAATGAATTATATTTGTATTTTATTATTAGAAGTTTTTTTATATTCACAAAAAAATTTTCTTCCTTGCCCCAAAATTTGATACGAGGGGCCTATAGGGACCTACATAAGTTTAGACTAGGTTGGTGTTTCATTTTATTTTATTTAGTGTTTTATTCTACTAAATTTTTTTTAATTTTTTGTTAGGGGCTATAACAAAATTAGTCAAAAACCGTTTTGAATCGATATCCAAAAAGCGCGCGTTTCTCCACAGTGTTGCCAACTTTAACCGCGACCATGGTCGTCAATAGCACCTGATTTAGTACTCTGGTAGAAATACTGACCGCTGTATGCGTTGTGGATTGCCATTGCTGGCCGGCAGTGGAAGCGGGAAGCGGGTTAAAACTTTATTTTGTGGCCATGTAACGGGCCTTACGATTGGTCAGGAGATGCGATCCCGACGTCAGCATTGCAGGCTACAAGCCCATTCAGCTCCGTTCCTTTGTGTGGGTARGTAAACAACAAACGCCGGTGTCGATCCAAGATAACCCGAGCGCCTGCCGCCTAGACAGTCGACGCCATTGGTCCTACGTACTATTTGACCATCTCGGCCGCTCATCATCCRTCATTCCGTCGCTGTGGTACGTACGGTGCATAATATTTTTCTCTTCGCCGTCTCCACTCTCCAATAGTCCAATATCACTATAGACAATACTACTATAGTTATTATAGTACCTTCCGATCGTCCAYCCATTCCGTTCTGTCATTGATGTTGCAGACAAGCAGAGCAGGAGCAGCAGTGTAACACCGCCATAGTAACGCAATTCGATATCGCCGGTTACGACATTCAGCGATTATATTAATTATAATAATTCAACAACAATTTTAATAATATAAATTAATTTATATCTATTATTGTTATTCGTCGCAGGGTATTCCACGGTAGTTTAATAATAGTGATATTATAACATTTATCTACTGCCGTTCGCCGTCGTCGCCGCTGCACAGTCGTCGTTATCATCGCGTCGATTTTTTTTTTGCTTCTTTCCCCCCGACATTGCGCACGATCGTTGCGAGTGAAAACTTCATTGGATTCTCGTAACACATTGCGACAACAGTGCGCGTATACCGTTATCGCCGTGACCGTAAACATCAAAGGCCGTGCACTCCACGATTAGTTTCTGTATTGTCCGATGTCTGGTGCTGAAGTACTAGACACCACCTGTGAACTGCCGGCCAAGAAGCGTAAACTGGCTTCCGGTGAACTGTCTACAGTATCCGTCGACTCAGCGCCGAGGAATCAGGTAACAATGTCGAATAACGGCGTGGAGGAGATCGATGAAGGCCTCTACTCTCGGCAGCTGTATGTCTTGGGCCATGAAGCTATGCGCAAAATGGCCACTTCCGATGTGCTGATCAGCGGGCTCGGTGGTCTTGGCGTGGAAGTCGCCAAGAATGTCATACTCGGTGGTGTCAAGTCAGTTACGTTGCATGATTCTGTCGTGTGCACCTATAGCGATCTATCATCGCAGTTCTATTTGACCGAAAACGATATCGGTAAGAACAGGGCGGATATCAGTTGTCCAAAGTTGGGTGAATTAAATTCCTATGTGCCCGTCAAAGCATACACTGGGATTTTGTCCGAATCGTTTCTTAAACAGTTTAAAGTTGTTGTCTTGACCGAGACAACATTAGACGAACAGTTGCGCATATCAGAAATCACACATCTGAACAATATCGCTTTAATAGTTGGTGATACTAGAGGGGTGTTTGCTCAAGTATTCTGCGATTTTGGTGAGGATTTCAATGTAATTGACACAACGGGTGAAAATTCAATTTCTGTTATGGTAGCTGGTATTACTAAGGAAGAACAAGGGGTAGTTACATGTATGGATGAGTCTCGACATGGTTTCGAAGATGGAGATTATGTAACATTTCAAGAAGTACAGGGTATGACTGAAATAAATGGTTGTAAACCAAAAAAAATTACCGTCTTGGGGCCATATACCTTTAGTATTGGTGATACTACATCCTACTCAGATTATATTAAAGGTGGTTATGTTACTCAGGTGAAAATGCCAAAAAAATTAAATTTCAAATCATTAAAAAATTCCTTAGCTGAACCAGAGTACCTTATTTCTGATTTTGGAAAATTTGATAGACCTTCCCAACTACATCTAGCATTTATAACTTTTCACAAGTTTGTTTCTGTGAATGGTCGTCTACCTATTCCATGGAGTTCTGAGGACGCAAATGAATTTTTAAAATTAGCCAAAAGTATAAATACTGATTCCATTGAACTTGATGTTGATCTAATTAAAATATTTTCAAAAGTTTGTGCTGGTAATATTAATCCAATGACATCTTTTATTGGTGGTATTGTTGCTCAAGAAGTTATGAAATCATGTTCTGGTAAGTTTAGTCCAATATTTCAATGGCTTTACTTTGATGCTACTGAATCTTTACCAGAAGAAGTTACTGAAGAAGATGCCAAGCCTATTGGTAATCGCTATGATGGTCAAGTCTCCATTTATGGACGAAAATTCCAATCCATTTTGGGAAATTTGAAATATTTTGTTGTTGGAGCTGGAGCTATTGGATGTGAATTGTTGAAAAACTTTGCAATTATGGGAGTTGGTTGTGGTAATGGAAAAATCTATGTCACCGATATGGATTTAATTGAAAAATCTAACTTGAACAGACAGTTTTTGTTTAGAACTCAGGATGTTCAAACATCAAAATCTGAAACAGCAGCTAAAGCAATTAAACGTATGAATCCATATGTAAACGTAGAACCACAGACAAACAGGGTCTGCCCAGAAACTGAGCAGATTTATAATGACACTTTCTTTGAAAATTTGGATGGTGTTGCTAATGCTTTAGATAATGTTGATGCTCGTATATATATGGATAGACGTTGTGTTTTCTACAAAAAACCACTTTTAGAGTCTGGAACATTGGGTACAAAGGGTAATACACAAGTTGTAATACCAAACTTGACAGAATCCTATAGTACATCTCAAGATCCTCCAGAAAAAAGCATACCAATTTGTACTCTAAAAAATTTTCCAAATGCTATTGAACATACATTACAATGGGCTAGAGATTTATTCGAAGGGCTTTACAAGCAAACTCCAGAAAACGTTAAACAATTTTTAGAAGATCCTACCTTCGTTGAACGTACAAATCGTTTACCTGGACTTCAACCAGTTGAAATTTTGGACTCTGTAAGATCTTCTGTTGCAGAACGCCCTAAAAGTATTGATGATTGTATTGAATGGGCTAGAATGCACTTTGAAGATCAATTTACAAATCAAATCAAACAACTTTTATTCAATTTTCCACCTGATCAATCAACAACTAGTGGTCAACCGTTTTGGTCTGGACCCAAACGTTGTCCAAAACCAATCATATTTGACGTAAATAATACATTACATTTGGATTATATTTTGGCAGCAGCTAATTTAAGAGCAGAAACATATAATATTAATCAGATAAGGGATCGTGTCTATATTGCCAATGTTGTGTCTTCGGTTAAAGTTCCTGAGTTTGTCCCAAAGTCTGGTGTAAAAATTGCTGAAAATGATTCACAGATAACTAATGGATCATCAAATTATGATCAAAGTAAACTAAATAAAACTCAAAAGGATTTACCACTTACAGATTCTCTAAAAAACATTAAAATTGTTCCTTTAGAATTTGAGAAAGATGATGATAGTAATTTACATATTGATTTTATTGTAGCTGCGTCAAATTTAAGAGCTACAAATTACGGTATTCAACCTGCTGATAGACATCGAAGTAAACTCATTGCTGGTAAAATTATTCCAGCAATTGCTACAACAACGTCTGTTGTTGCTGGTCTTGTTTGTCAGGAATTCTTTAAATTAGCTAGAGGATTGAAAGATTTGGAAAAATACAAAAATGGGTTTGTAAATTTAGCTTTACCATTCTTTGGTTTTTCTGAACCATTACTAGCACCAAAATCTAAATATTATGATATTGAATGGACTTTATGGGATCGTTTTGAAGTAGAAGGAGAACTTACATTAAATGAATTTTTAAATTACTTCAAAGATAAACATGCACTGGAAATCACTATGCTTTCTCAAGGAGTTTGTATGTTATATTCATTCTTCATGCCTAAAGCAAAAAGGGAAGAGCGTATCAATACTAAAATGTCTGAAATTGTACGCAATATATCAAAGAAGAGGATTGAACCACACGTAAAATCATTAGTTTTTGAAATATGCTGCAACAACACTGATGGTGAGGATGTGGAAGTACCTTATGTTAAGTACAATTTGCCATCAGACTTCCAATATTAAAAGGTAAATAAAACTAATTCTATTTTTAATTAATAATGTCAACTTGAAGAGTTGTAAAGGTGTGTATAGTTTAAAATCATATTATTTTTATTTTTGTTCCAGGTTATGTGTCGATGCCAAAAAATTTTTTGAAGTTAATGTTGTTGATTAAAGACCCTGCCAATCAAGTACATTTTTGGAGCCTAATAATTCTTTTAACTTTTTATAATTTAAATTTCAATGTGTGTTTTTTTTTTATATTAATTATTATATTAAAAATATGAGATAAGGTTATATATTTATCTACATTAATTAAAACGAATAAAACAAATATAATATATATATATACTTTTTTTCTAACTCGGGTGTTCTGTCTAACTTTAGAAATAAATATTTATATTAATAAAATATGAAAAAAATTTCATTTTTTTTTTTTTTTAACTTGTCTTTTTAAAATAAAATTTTATAGATATATAGGTATTAATTTACTAATGTTTTAGCTATGTATTAAAATTGAGTAGCATATAAAGGAACATTTATTTTTACTGACAAAATGTAGTACCTTTATAAGTATTGTGTAAATATTCAAATATATATAAAATATWTATGTATAAATGTTACCCAAGATAAAAATCTAAAATTATTTTCAATTTTCATTTACTAATATTGATGTATTTATAGTTTTTTTCAACAATAAAAACACTGAATTAATTTAATTCTAAAGGGATCATCTACATGAGCAAGCTATTATTGCATGCAGCCTTTCAGCGACCAACTCAATAATGACTTTTATAGATTATGTATAAAGTGGTGGACTGGACGACCGGGATACCGTGAAATTTCCCRGTGGGCTGCTGCTGGTATAAAATATATATTTATTAATATTATAATGGTGAAATAATAAACTAAAATATTATCTAATAAGTAATAAGTATGTAATATAAAATATTATTAAACATAAAACCCTAGATTTCTGATTAGGTATTTTAAAATGTGGGACTGGCTTGTGTTCGGCCATACCAGGCTTACAGTAGGTTACAATAGTGATGAATGGTATTAAATTTGAATTCAATGATATAATATTATTGTGTATGAAAAACGAGATTTTGAGACGGTATGTCTATAATATTACTATAGGTAGGAAATAGGCATATTTTATAATATTATTGTGATTAAAGTAATTAACTTTAGTATTAGGCATTAGTATCTTCTACAGTAGGTTAAATTCATTTTTCCCCCAAAAAATATATTTTAAAAGTCATTGTGTGTATAAAATACAAAAATATGTCAATATATTCTTAAAAGTTTCTTATATCCACGAATAATATTTATTTTTAAATTACAACAAAATAACCAAAATCGATATTATTGGATTTAAAATGTAATTTCGTCCAAATTTTATTTTAATAATAAATTTATTTATTGCTAGTAGTTGATAAATGTGAGCATAGTGTATAGTTAACATATGAATTTACTAGCTTTGCTCCAAAGACTGAGGTAATACCTCTTATCGTAGAGCAAGAATACTAATCTAGATGTAATTAAAAAATTTAATATTATTTAAAATAAAGAAATAAAAACTCACAATTTGAATTTAAAATGTCTGTAAGAAATAACTGTGTTTATATATTTTTTTAGATTTGTTGGTCATAATATGAACAATTTATGAGTCTATATTTTAAATTTTCAATCCTTAGTTATAAAACTGAACATTTCATAATTTTTTAATTACACTGATTGATAATTTTCAAGATTTTAATACATTTTGTCAAAGTTCAAACTTTAAATGATTATAAAAAAAATTTGTGCCTATGCATTTTTAATATTTTTCAACCGCTATAGTAACAATATATGAGGAGCCTTTCATAATTACCTTTTCACGCACTTTGGGACAACAAATACAATTTTATTGATATTTATAGAAAAAAAATTAAAAAACATGAAATTTTAAATTGCCAAAAACAGTTCAAAACAATTCAAAATGTTTTGGTGTATAAAAAAAAGCTAATATAAACATTCAGTCAAAATTGCATGATCTACGCGCGGTCATTTGTTTTGGAGTTGCATCAAAAAATAAAAATAATTTTTCTTTTGTTTTTCACGGCACTTTTGAAAACTACTGGAAAAACTACCAACTAGATTCACTACTTTCCTATTAGAAAAGATAATGTTGAAAAAATCTAAGTATTTTTACTGTCCTAAAAGGTGATGACAGACACAAAAAAAAGTTAAAAAAACACACATCATTGTAAAAAATATACATTCATTGATCTGCTCAGAATCTAAAATAGTTATTAGGCATATAGGCATCCACAAGACGTATAAAAAATATACTTTATATTTAAAAGGCCGTTAGTATATTGAGGGCCTCTAAAATTATGATTTTCCCGGGCTGTGTTTTTCTCCCAGCCCGCCACTGTGTATAATGTACATAATATGAAGAAATGATCGTTCATTTTAATATAGTAAAATTATAATAGTGTATAATAGGCAATAGCGCATGTATATGTTTATGATGCTGAGTGGTGTGAAGGTTCTCAGATCTTAACAGCTATGGTACATCTGAAGTGCTGTGATCCAGGCTCYCTTACATATGATGTTGCTCTTTTGTTCTGGCAACTTGCATGTTTGCAGATGTTATAGTTTTGGTTAAAGTGAATTTGCGCTAATTGGCASTAATGGTTATGATTTTGAATATGTACACGTAGTCTCCCATCCAACAAGTTTTATTTGTACGACAGAATTATATACATTGTGTATTATGTAAGGTCATTATGTTCTGTATAATATGATTTATAATATGCTGTAATATTAATAGCATGCTATTACTAAGATTTTGTAGTCCATTACACTATAATGAATAAATGGCTTAAAGTTTCTATTTAACTTTTCATTTGAATATAATCATTGGTTCATAGCTGTCAAATTAAATTGTTTTGCACAAATGTATATTGCATATTGGTGTAAGTTATTTATAATTGATTTGAAAATATTTTTGAAATTCATACAAGGATTGCTTATTTTTGTCTCCTGTGTAATGGAATAAATTATAAATGTTAGTATTAATATTAACTAGCACTATCTTAGATTTTGTTTTTGTCCATCAAATGAATACTGATAATATTTATATAATATGTACAATAATGATCAATATTTTATATGGAAATTATATATTACAAATTACAATATTATATAACATAATATACCTGATGATTCTTTTATCATTGAACACTCATTATTTTAAAAATTATTAATATTTTTGAAAATATTATTTTACATAATTTCAAGTTGTTAAAAACCAACGTTTTTATTAAAAAAATTATATTTTAAAATATTTTTTATCCTTATAATTTTTCAAGTTTTTACTTTTTTGAAYGACAACATAGAGTTTAAATTTCATATTCCTAAACAGAATATTTTTCTAAGTATTTTGATTTATAAAAATCGAATTTAGGACTAGTCTAGTAGTTTATGAGTTATAATATGTATTTAAAGTTTAGACAAGCGGAGTAGTGGACAAACATTTTGCAGGGTAACCCCGTACCACTACAATCTGCCAATCTAAACTTTAAATACTTATAAGTCATAAACTACTCGTCCTAAATTCGATTTTTATGAATCAAAATACTTRGAAAAATATTCTRCTTTGGAATATGAAATTAAAACTCTATGTTGTCATTCAAAAAAGTAAAAAACTTGAAAAATTATAAGGATAAAAAATATTTTAAGATATAATTTTTTAATAAAAACGTTGGTTTTTGAACAACTTGAAACTATGTAAAAAAAATTTTTAAAAAACATTAGTAATTTTTGAAATATTGAGTGTTCAATGATAAAAGAATCACCCGGTATAATATATAATATAAAGATATATTGAAAATACACTGGTTTCAAAAATTTTAATGTTTACTTTAGGATTTTAATTTTTACTGATTTTAAAGCTTCGTAATAAAATATCATTTTTTGTAAAAGAAAGAACTAGTTTCACATATGAGCAAATAAAGTGTATTTAATCAAGTGAACAAATAGATTGTCTTCTATAAAAAAAAAGTATTACTTTGATAAAATAATTGTATATTTCTAATTTGTTATTCTATGTAAGTTAGTGAATCATATAAAAATACAAACCTGGGCAACTTCATCAATTTTTTTTTAACTATTTAAGGTAGTCATCCTAAAATAAAAAAATCGGGTAAGTGGATATCACTTTGTTGTACAGTAGGTTACAAGTAGGCCACTGGTACAAGATTTGTAGTCAATAATATAATTTCATTGCTCATGAAAAGTCGAAAAATGATTCAGAGTAGAGACTGTATGTCAATAGGATATGTTAACTGAATAATTTATAAATGTTGTCAACATTTTAACTTAAACAGCTATAAAAGAAATGTGTAGGTATGTATATACTTTCAAACTGCTATMATTTAAACTTATGGGGAACCTGGCATTAAGTTTTCAATATTTTTGACCCAACAAAATTTTAAAATGTATATAAATAAACTTAGTGTTGAAATATACTTTAAAATGTTGTCAAGAATAGGGATTGATAAAATAAACATGGTGTTAATTTCAAGTTTCTACAATCATTTGTTTTTGAATAATTGCAAAATAAGAATATATGTACAAAAGAAATTGAGTGAATATCCAATGTTGTGAAAACTTGGCTTTAAAAATAAAAATTTTGTTTTTTCTCAAAAACCAATTTTGTGTAAAAATTTCAGTTATTCCTTTATTTTTCTCGCCATTATTGAAAAATACTGAGCATTTTAAATGTTGGTCTCAATGCACCAACTAGATTCATTAAGTTACAATTATTTGTGAAATAAAATAACTTAGTTACTAACAAGTTTTTAAATTTTTTTTAACTAGTTATTGCTTAGTTTTACAAAATTATGATACTATGTATGGTACTTAYGTGATTTCAATTTTGTAAGTATGAGTTGAARTTGTCAAAGTAGTGATATGAAATTTGGTTATAATACATTTAAAAGTTGGAATTTTATCCTTCAATAATTCATAATACAATAAACTATAAAGTAAAAAAAATCATTTAAGGTTTAAAACCCTTGACATTTGAGAAGATTGTCAGCGATTAATTTTAATTATATATAAAAAATATTAGATTTTAAAAAGTAACAAAATAATAATAATGATAATATATATTATATAATATATGACAATAATATAATGAAGTTATGTGGTGATGACACAAGTATACTTGATACATACGATGATCAATTTTGAATATTGTAAAAGTCATCTTCATCATGAAACATGAATATTAAATTAATTAACGTTATATGTAAACAGAGCTTACACTGGAAAACCATAAAGCCTCCCCAATCAAGTTAAATTGTATTTTATTAAATGGTTTTAAAGTCATAAATAACAATACGGAATCTAAAATTGATTTCTTTAGTTTGTAAGTATCCACCGTATATTTATAAGTTAATTTTTATCTAAATTCTTAATTGTATTATAACTAATTATATAATAAGTTAAAATTTATATAAGCTTGGAATGTATGTCATATTATGTTTTTGTATTCATTATTATTGGTATGTTATTATATATATATATATTATGCTGTACTTAAGCCATCTTTGGYGTTTACCTAAAATAAATAAATAAATATTCATAAATAGAAAAAAAATCTATATATAATTATTATATTTCAGATAATTAAAATTATAATTCTATACATTTTTGGTAGGTTTAATAAAAACTTTTTTTCTTTTAAGTTTCTTGCGCATTACTTCAACTTCGTGTAATTCTGAATATACTTCAGCAAATATTTCTTTTTGCTCTTCTTCTGGTATTGTTTTCCTATAACACCAAAGATCATGTTTAAAATACAAATTCTATAAAACAAATAGAAATTTAATTTAGGTACCTATATTGTTTCATTAAGTCATATTTCTCCCAGGGTGTTGCTAATTCTTTGGCTCTTTCATAAAACCGATCTTCTAGTCCTAAGTCAGCTAACCCTTTCATTTCTTTTCTTTCCCACCTGGCACGCCAAGGTCTAGGTTTTAGTTTAACCTAAAAAACAAATGATTTAACTATATTTCTAAAGTAAGGTCTTTGATCATTAATTTTTATTTTACCATTTCAGGGTTCACAGGTACAGGTGCTCCTTCGGGTAAATATTCAACTTCCATATTTTCATCAAATGTACTATATTCATTAGGTGCATCTCTTAAGTATAACAACTCATCATCAAGACGTTTTTCTAAGCGCAAAACTTCAATCTTCTGTATAGTYGGATCGTAAAGTTGATACTTCATTTCTGTACCTATATTTTAAATAATATAAATTGGCCTTAGAACAATCCAAATAAAATCAGGCTTGTTATATTCACTTACCAACATGTTTAATGACGTTTCTAAGGGTAAAATTAGCTCTAAGACCACATCCTAAACGTTGTATGCATATACCTACAAAACGAGTAGCTTTATTGGGTGCATGTTGATTAGATGATGAAACAGCCATGATGGACCCTAAAAAAAAAATATTAATTATTATACTTATACATACTTCATAATATACGTAAATTGGATATTTTAGTAATAAGTACTGGTAGGGCAATTTTAGATGCAGTTGTTTTAATTATTAAAAAGAGTGGTAGACGGTGGCACTGGCGACAAATTTTAAGCTATGTTCAAACACGGCCAAGCCTTTATCGGCTATATTTTATTTACATCATAAGATTGTTATAAGTAAATAATGTATACTTCAGGATGATGGTAAATACTTAAATATGAAATTACATCATTTAAAATTTAAGTTCAGTTAGCAATTAGTTGGAAAATAAACTACTGAATTAAAATCTGACCATTACTAAATAAACAATTAATGCATAACATTATTGTTTTAATGAAGAAGTTTAAGTTATTCTTTATTGGATTATATTTGAGCAGCATATTATATTTATTAACATTGTGTAGGTAGCAATAAGTAAACTTGTAAGACTTTTTGGACAAAATGTACATCTGATAAAATAGTTATTTAATACCTACCAACATAAAATTCAGGTATATCTATATGTTTTCTTCTTTGTATCATATCCATGCGTTCTAGTTTTTCTCGTAACGAGTTTCTCCATTCAATTTTAGGATCAGGTAAAAACTCTGGATATATAAATCTAGAGTTGGATGGAACAACCGATTTTCTTTCAGGTTTAATTTGTTTTCCGGATACAGATTCATCAGAGGACTGGTGTTGGACGTCAGATAGTGGAGAATTACTATAAGATCTGGATACGCGGAGCACTGTCAAAAAAATATTTATTAATCTTGCGTGTTCTAAAACTGTATAAAAATTAAGAATGTTACCGGGTGCGAATCCACACTGAAACCTGTGAATGTTTACATTTCTCAGCAACATGTTGAACGATTATTTTCCAAACGATTCATGTACTCATCTTACACTTTACAATGATTTTCAAGCGAACCGAATGCCGATCAAATATTGAAATGTTACATGAAGCTGCACCAGCACCGTTCGGCGAACATGGATACTGTTACAGTGTTACTATCAATTATCAAATATTCTATTCGTTATCACTTTATACGATAGTGTGATAAAACAAGACAATTTGGGATAACTTATAACCTAGATCTCCGGTCAACAAGATCCCCATGTTTATCTAGACCCCCTAGGCCCTAGGGTTAGTAAGTTGGATCTCAATGGGTCAATTAGTACACACGTCAACTAAACCCCCTTAGTTCCAATGGTTCCAAATGTTCCAATAACGCAATATATTATTTTTCAAATTTGCATACAGTGATGCCCGCGTTGTCACTCGCCCGTACGTTGCGTCGCACTCGGACAAAATAAACGAAAATATCCCTCGACGTCTTGCTATGCGACTCCAGTTGTACTCAATTATATATATTTATACTCCACCACTAGACGTGATCTTGAGGATCTTGATTCTTGGTGGCTGGCCGTTCACCGACCATAATATTTCGACATGAACGGTGGTCGTCTCGAGTGAGCAGCATTACCATTATTACCAACTTGATGATTCGGTAATCGGTTATCAAAATTAGTCTGCAAGGCTTACGCCGTCTTCGGAAAACTTTAGCGCTAGTGGTGCACTGGTGCGGTATTATGATCGTGTAATGAATAATGATGAACCGTGCCGTGCGGCAATACAATTGTGTTTACTCTCGTTATTATTATTATATTATCCGATAAAACTGTTATTGCACATTCGACATTTGTGATAGTAAGTACTGACTACATAGACGTGCTGGCTAGTGACTTACAGACTATGTTTATGCCGCGTTGATCGTACATTTCAACGAGTCAATTTTTTAAATCATTAGCGGCTTGTTGGTTTTTCGCAGACGATGTACAACGGAATAGGTTTGGCAACAGCCCGTGGATCGGGCACCAACGGTTACGTTCAACGAAATTGGGCGGCCATAAAAAAAGTCAAAGACCAGACGTCTTTCAAAACCGATGAAGAGTTGGCCAAAATCGATTCTGCAGCTAACCGTCAGCCAAACCAGGAGCTGTTGGATCACGACCGTAAGCGAAAGATCGAACTGAAATGTATTGAACTCGAACAGTCTTTGGAAGACCAAGGGTATGCATTATTTGGCAAATATTCTGCTGATATTAATTTAATTCAGAACCTATATATTATTCGTTCTTATTTAAACATTTTTGTTTTACAGTCTTTCCCAAGATGAAATTGTCAAAAAGATAAATATCTTTAGACAAACATTATTGGGCAAACAAAAGTCTACAACTGAATATGATGAATGTGGTAGACCTGTGTAAGTATAAATAATTGTATATTCAACTATTTATATTAAACGGTATGTGATAAACTTATTTCTTAAACTAGATATTATGATTCTTACTTAAAAATTAATCGGTCAATTAGAATGACTAATATTAGAGCTTCTATAATATTCTAATTAAATACCCGTCACTATCTGATATACTTAGTCTTTTGTTAGTACTAGGGTAATATGTATTATTGGCTTTAATATTCATTATAAATTATACATATTTGATAATGGTCGAACTTTATTCTATATGAATGCAAATTTTTGTACTTATTTACATTTATTTAAACCATATTGCATATTATTATTATTAAAAAAGTTCATCTGAGTTTAATTGTGTGTTTTATCAATTTGATATATTTTATTTAGATTATTCTTCGAAAGAAATAATTACAAATTCAGGTACCTATTTTTTTTTTTTTACTTATTTGCTTAATAAGATACCTAAAATTTTAAATGTTAATTATTTAGTCGTCAAATTATTGTTAAACAAAATACAAATCAAATGTATTTGTTTAAAAAATGTAATAATATGTAATCACTGTATATAAAGGGAAGTTATTCCTCTAATATTGCATCCCTGTATGGATCAATACTACAACCCTCCCCTCTTCACCATCAAAGGCACCACCCAATAGTAAACAGTGTATGAGTCACTGCATATTTGTATATACATTTTCATATATGCATGAATGTTTTTTTCTTGTATTGTGTGTGTTTATTATTTTTTTTAGTTTTATAATGAGTGACATTAGTGTTAAATAATGAAATATTATAAAGTAATTATGTAGATCATGAAGGAACCACAGTATAAGCCTCCATGATCTAATCAAAATCAAATATATATCAATGTCTTCCAAAATKTATATGTGATATTAGTATTTTAATAAWATATTTAGTCTTCCATAAATTAAATAAATATTCAATCAAGTCTTCCATATATTTAAAATTGTGATAAGATTTAACTTAGTTTAAATACATTTTAACTAATTTAATTAATACTACTTTATTAACAATAATATGTCCAATCCAAATAATGTTGAACAACAATGTTTCAAGCGGGTATGGAAAAAAACTCTAAGATCTGTGCTTAAAAACCCTTCAAATGCTATGATAATGGCTGAAACAAAATCTGTTCAACAATTAAATGTTAATCTCAAGAAAAAAAAGCCTAGACGTCGTCGGAAAAAAAAAAAAAAGCAGAACATTTGTAATTATTGTATGGATGCAACACATATTATGAATGGCCCAATATCAAATTTAAATTCAAAGGGCTCATTATTACTTCATCATGTGCCTTGGGGTTGTCTGAACACGGTTTGCATTAATGGAATGCAGTTTGCTAATATTAATAGCTTAAGATCATTTTTAAGGTATTTTAAATTAATAAATTTCAAAAAATTGTATTGTCATTTGAGCCTTGTATTTTCTCAGTAATTTAAATTATATATATATGGCTTTTAGATAGCTATAATAAATGCCTGTTAAATTCAAGTAATTATTTAGGTTGCTTATAGTATAATAATTTATTGGTTGTGTACATTTAATATGTTAGGTTAAATACAAATGTTGGTATATAATAATATTATTTGTTAGGTTAAAAAAATTATGTACGGTAGTATGAAGTACAATTGTTTATATTTATATTTTAATTTTTTTTATATATATACTCTTATATTATAAAATAATTCATGTTTAATTTATATTTCAGTGTAAGGGATTCACATCAGTTGGCCGATGAACAGTTAAAAAAGAATGCAAGACTCAGAGATGCTTTTGGTATATCAGAATTTTTTATTGAAGGCTCGAGCTTAGATCCAGAAAGAAAAATTAAAGAAGCAGCACTGGCCCAGTTAAAAGCGTTGCAGGTGGACCAAGCACTTGCGCAAACACAAATGAATGAAGACACCTCAACAAATAAAGACAGCAGTATAGCAAACGAACTACAGTAAGAGTTATACTTTGCTTACTCAAACTCATATTTTATATTATTTGGATCATTTAAAAGTTTTTAACTAAAGCATGTAATAATTTATTCATATGTTCTTAATTTAAGGTCTAAAAGTCCTAAACATAAAAAACGAAAGAAGAAGAAATCAAAATCTCATAAAAGTGACAAGTATGTTTAAGACTTTAATTTTATAACTATTAATCACAACATTTTGTTAGATTTATGGAAAAATATAAAATATATTTGCCACTAAGCTGATGATCAAAGTATAATTTGATCTTGTTTATGTAATAGTATTTTTATCTAATTTTGTTTAGAAGAACTACATTTGTCTAAGTATACMTTTGATCATCATTTTATAAAAAGTAGTTTTATGCATTTTTATGTCAAATTTAGATGTATGAAGTGAAAACTATTTGTTTAATTAGGCAATTTGTTGATTACTGTTTAGTTAAACTGATTAAAGGATATTAAACTAAATAGTGGTAAGTTACTATGTTTTCCATACAGTAATTTTTGTTTTGGTGTGATTTTCCATACAGTATTGTATTCTGCTATACTCACATAAATACTAAATTAATAATTATAATAACAAATCATTTGCTGATAAATATGAACAAAAAAGAAAAGAAATAAACCTAGTTTTCTTGCTCTGCTCAAAATTTAACAAATTTAGGTTACTTGACAATTTATTATTATATGTAATAGAAATGTTTTTTTAACATTTTAACTAATCAATTGTTATCATTTTATTTTTATATCCACTAGAAAATGTAAATAAAATATAAACAACAATTAAAATTTTTATTTGTTATTTTGTATTTCACAATAATTGAATTTTTTTCTTAAGTTCAAACTTTATCTATTATATTATAAATAATACTATTTTCCCCCATCAATTAATACTAATCTAATGAGACAAATGTTGAAGACTATTATTTCAAATTATTGATATTAGATATTAAATGATCGTTAGTTATAACTTATAAACATTTTTATTTGACATAATTGGAATTTAATTTTTTTTTTCATTGGTAAATCTTGAAATATTTTCTATATACTAATTGAATTTAATCAGATAAATAATATTAAAAGTTTTAACTATCTTTAATTTTCAAAAAAATGGCAGGATAATATTTTTATGAATATTTTACTTTTTTTTTTTTTGTAATTGATAAATACAATTTATTCACATTTAATTTAGTTATTATTATTAAATAATTTATACGTGTATTGTTTTTACAGAGAAAAAGGAAGTGAAAAGAAAAAATCAAAAAAACATAGAAGGAATCATAACTCTTCATCTGAAGATAGTCCAAGGTAATATTTTTATAATTAATAAGATATACAAATAAATAAAAATGTATAGATAATTAAAATTGAACTTTTACATATACAATTATTTGATATAGTGTTGCATTGATATTTTTTTCAAATGAACATACTTAATGACATCATATAAAACATGATTCAAGTTCGGTTAGAAGAATAAATACTATACTTTTGGTCAAAATCTCAGTAGTTTTTAAAAGTACTAGGAAAACCATAAAAATGGAATTTTTACGAAATCGATTTTATTTTTTTGTGTTACTTAAAAACTAATAACCATAGGTATTAGATAGTTGAAATGTACACAAAAAGTATTTCACGTGGTAAAAAAACTTGGATATTTAATGCAAAGTTTCTAGTTTTTATAGAAGATTATTAACAAGTTTTCCAACATTAACTATATTTTTGTATTATGTTATACAGATTGTATATTTTTTTCTACTTTAATAAAAAAAAAAAAAAAAAAAAAACTATATTTTAAAGTGGTCCATATATATATATATATATAATATCTTTACATGCGGGTAGTGACAATATTTTTTAGAATGCTATGAATACAATAAACAAAGTTAGGAAATGCTGGTATACCACTAAAAACAATGATTATAGCCTTAGGAATTATAGTACTCTTAAAAAAAAATACATTTTTAAAGTTAAAAAGTAACATCTTATAATCAACTTCCAATTTTATACTATTATTTTATTTTAATTTTAATTGTGTGATCAATTATATTTATAGATAACATTTTCTTTTTTAGAACTGATGAATCAAAAGCCAACAAGAATTTGTCTCAAGTTAAATCCAAGTATGATGATGATAAATATGAGGATAATCATAAAAAACATAAAAAGGATAATGATAAAACATTAAAGAATGATACAAAAGAAATAGAATTCAAGTATAAAAGTGATCAAGAAGATTACCGTAAAAAAGATTCTGAACCAGAAAACTCTAAAAGCTTGAAAAAAGGTAAAATAACTGAGGAATTTAACAAGCTAAAATGTAAAGATATTTTTTATGATTCTAAAAAACAAGAAAATTCACCTAGACATAAAACACTGATAAAAGAACGTGATAGGGATAGAGAGAGAGATTACGATAAATATTCACAAAAACAACATACAAATCGTGATGACAGTAAATCAAGTAAGGAAAAATATCATAAAACAGACTCAAAATACAATTCAAGGAAACGGAATTCGAGAAGTCCTATTAAAGAATTAAAAAAAAAATCTTTTAAGCCTGATAAGTTAACTTGTATTCCTGTTGATAGTGATAGTGACGAGTCTTGTTATACTCCACCTCCCAAGGGTGTGAATGCTAAATTGAGTCAATCAAAAACTGACGAAGAAAAAAATCTCAAGAGTACTAAATATACATTTTCATTGCGTGAGAATAGTGAAGATCGCTCGGTTGTAAACAAGTCTAATGGATGCACTGACGACTTGAAATCAGCATTAAAAAACAGTGAAAATCAACATAATAAATCCGAATCTCATAAGAAAAATAATCGAATAGATCAAATATTTTTAGATTCTACTACAAGTGAAGAAGGTGGGTTAGAAGACGATATTGATTTAAATATAATTAAAGAGATTACTACAGAGAAAATAAAAAAAGTATTTGAGTTGCACGAAAAACAAGAGCAAGCACTGCTTCATCTAAAACAAAAACTAATGGAGAAAAAACGTAAAGTTAGGACTTCTTCCAGTTCAAGTGAAAGTTCAGATGAACCAGTTAAAAAGAAAAGTGTCAAACGAAGACGTGTTAAAGATTCGTCATCTAGTAACAGGTTTGTAAAATGTTTCTTTGTCATAAAATTCTAATTCATATATTTAACAATTAATAATAAGGTACACAATTTAATTTGTTTATTTCTCGCCTTTAATTATTTTTGCTTAGTTTTAAATGTGCTTTCTTCTTCAATTATGACCAATAATTTATGTGTTTCTAGTGATGAAAATACTAGAAAAAAGTCCAAGCGCTCCCGTTCTAGTAGCAGTAGTAGCAGTGCAAGTGACACAAGTGTTGACCATCATAAGTCATTAAAACGGTCTAAAGATAAAAAATATTCAAAGAAAAAATCATCCTTATCACGTCGCCGTACTAAAGATAGTACGTCTCGATCTCGATCTCGATCAGTGTCAGTTAGCTCAAATGAACGTTTACGTAAGAAACCAGTTTCCTCAAGTGAAGATTCAAGTCCTAGGCGTAAGCATAAATCATCAAAACGCAAACGTTCATCTTGGAGACAAAGGAGCAGCAGTGATAGTAGTATCAGTAGTAGATCATCACCATCTTACTCTTCTTACAATAACAAAAGATGCTATAGTTTAAGCCGTTCACGTTCGACTTGTAGTTCATCAAGCAGTCATTACTCTCGCAGTTCTAGTTCTAGCCGGGACTCAAGCAGCTCTGGGTCTAGCCGTAGTTCAAAGTCTCGATCTGCATCTATACCTAGGCGACGAGGGTCGCCTAGTTTTTTGGATCGAAGACGAATTACAAGGTAAATTTTAATATTGTGTGTGTTCTATACCTCCTATTTCATTTTTTAATTAAATATATCGAGTTTAACTATTCCATAAATGTTTGTTTAAACTATATAAAACATAATATGTTTAAATTTTTTAATTACTCAAATTCTCAAACAAAATAGTAAAATTATGTTCCTATCTCATTTTAAATTATGCTCGAATCACAATTTGGATGATGAGACTGGAACACAGGTATCAGGCTATCAGATTATTATTTTGTATAAATATTGTCCAGTGTGTGTAAAATACAACCTTTTTGTAAATTTATGGCAAATCTTAGTTATTATTTTACAAAAAAATAAAATGGGAAATTAATGTAATTTAATTATTACTGTTGAATATAACCATAAGAAACTTAATTTTTTGTGTTTGTATGTATTACATTTGATCCTTTATTACTTAAATGATGAGCCGTTAATTTATGAAAAAGTTATTTTTGCTAATTCAATATTACATTAGCAAAACAAATTTTATTTTGACTATTGATTATTTTTATTTTGCCACCCTTATGTGCTTAAATTGTCTTTTAATTATAACAATAATTATTTTTTTTCCTAGTAGATTATATTTATGCATGACCATGTAGATATCAATTACTTTTGTCTATGCAATAAAACAAAATGTGTGATTTGAATTTATCCAAACAATTTTTCTGTGTTTTTATTTCTTTACCATTTTATTATTTATTTATAAAAAACAAAACAAATAATTAAATGCAAAATTGTACAAWACAACCAAATAAACCATCTCATGTACGTTTTTGTTATTCAACACATTATATTGTACATCCTCACGTATCACTTGGAAGAGTGTAGTAGACCGTCACAGACACCTTATTTCAAATATCGCTTGTAGGAAAAGCGATCAGAAAATCATTTGTGCACTTTAATTGTAATAATAACAAATGACATCATACTTATGTTTTTGCTTTCAGATAAGTTTATGCATCATGCCTACATTATAATTTGTGTGTTTTTATTTTTATTATTTTTTTTTTTTTTTATTTAGATTTGTTAAGTATTGATTTTTGGCAGTTTTTTTTGTTTACAAGCTGGTAAATATCGAAATTCCTTTTTCACCAAACACTTTGAATTCTGCAGTTAAATTTCCAATAACGGTTAAAAATTATTTTGTAGTGCGAGAAAAAGACCTATCCCATACACAAGACTAACGCCGTTTTCCACCAATTCTGATACGGATAGTGTCATCAGCGTGCACGACTCACCAATTGCTGAGAGCCACTAACACAATTTGTTATAGTGCAATAACCATTAGGCCAACGTCTAACGGTTAAGTTAATTATCTAGTCATATATTTGTGGATGTGAATTAATCGTTWTTCATAATTTTATTATTATTTTAACTTTCCTAACAAGTGATTTTATAATCAACATTCCACGTAGAGTATCTATGAGACTTAAACTTACGAAATCTAGTCAAAAGTTGTTTTTTTACGTCTTGTAAATGTTATTAATTCTTTGTGATATATTATTTTTGACGGGAATAATACAATATTTTTCATGTTACCGATAATATGTTGTTCTATGTTATTATTTATTAATTTATTATATATATTTTTTTTCTAATTATACATACAAAATGTAAATGTTCAAAACAATATTGTTTCGGTAATTTTCTGTTAATTGGACCAAAAGTACTGACAACATTTAATTTTTTTTTAATTTAATGCAAAAATATCAACTTGCAATTACATAGTATTCTATGTTACAACATTTTTAAGTTCTAACATATTATATTTAATCGATTTTGATAGAAATAAAATGTCTGCTTGTAACATATAAGCAAATTAACAACAACCACCTAACTATTGCTTTATTAAAAGTTACCATTTAACAAATTAAACTATACAGTTAGTACATTTCATTTTTAAAACACCATATTGGTTTTATTGTTGTCATTCGTTTGAACATAAATACAATAAAAAGTCTTAAAACTACAATAAACCCCTTCCCAATTAAAAATTTGAAAATTAAGCATAATATTAACAAATCGAATTGCTCAGTCCTTTGAAATACAAAATATGCTTCCAAAACTTTTTTTTAATAAATATTAATACCTAATAAGCAATTCTATGAAAAAATTTGTATGTACAACTGTAATAAAAATTAGGTAACAATTATTATATGTAACCATAACAATTTTATTTTGATGTGTGCAATTATGTTTGTTTTTCTTAATAATATTAAAATATATAAAAAAAAAATACTGAACATACTGTAGTTTTGTAATATATATAAATATATAAAGGAAAGAATGAATAGTACAAATATATATTTATTATATAACTCTTCATAATCTACAAAGTAGAAGAAGAGCTCCAAAAAAAGCAATCAGAGCGCCAAATATTGGCATTAACTTCATGGAATTTACATCTTGTGGATCTGGTGCTCTAGGTCCACTAGGATTTCTAGTGTGTTGTACCATTTTTACATGATCTTTACTTTCATTTACAGACGGATCTTCTTCTATATCTACCTCATCATGTGATTGTGGTTCAATATCAGAGTATAAATCTGGTAATCTGGGTATGTCTGGAAAAAAAATTTATATATATGCATATATAAAAATAAAATAAAATAATTATATGCTTAAAAGTTACACAGACACAGTACAGTAGTACACTTTATAATGAAAACTGATTTATAAATACCTGAAATTCGGCCTTTGGCTACAAGTACTGCGTTTACTTTAGGGTTATCTCTTTCGCCCTAAAATAAAAATTAAAACTGTTGAATTCAATCATAATTTATAAAAAAGTTATATTATTAATAAACAGTACAATATTCACACATTCCAAATAAATACGAAGTTTCATTGATTGTGTATAACAAGTTGTTTAAATATGTAGGTGTTKTACACATATCAAATATTTACAATGTCTACATCATAAGATAATTTTGTTTCATAAATTATTTAATACATCTAATACTTATATTATCTCTCCATATTAAAAAACTTTAATTTTGTGCCAAAATACCATAAAAGTCGAAATTGTCACAAACTTCTAATTGTGGCAGATAAACTTTTACAATGTTACGTAGAATATTTTTTATTTGCTTTAAATGGTAAAATTCGATACTTCTAGTGTTTTCTAAACATCCTGATAATTGAGTAAATAATATTTGCTTGTAATTTTTAACATTTATGTAAGTGCTTAAAAAGATGTTAGTCAACCAATATAATATTATCATGATAACTTGAAAGTTAATTTAGGAAATTTAAGTTTTCACTATAATACTGTGATTCATCAACTATTGGCTTACCTAGTTCAAATGAAAAATTTGAAATAGGTAAAAGCAGGTAAGCTACTAAAGGGTTCAATAATTGTGTACTGTAAGCAAAAATCAAAAACAATTGTTTGAAATATCAAGTCATACTTTTATAAAATCCACTCGAACAAGATTTCCTTTGATTTCAGATATCTCTCCTCTCCAATATAATGTTGTACCGTCTACCGTAAATTCAATGTATTCGTCATGAGCAGAACCAAATCCAACTTTGTCGTAGATGTCTAACATCGGTACCACTACATGTTGACCGTTCAAAACGACATCAAACACCTGAAAATAATACATTTCGATAAGGGTTTTGGTTTTAATGCATTTGGTGGTTATCACACCGCGGAGAGCGATAATACCTTTAAGCCACTGTTAGTGAAGTACACCTCGCTGAACTTGAGCACCATCACATAGTCGCCGTCCTGCATGACGGGTATGTCGTAGCCGAACGTGGTTTGCGAATACCTCTCAGTCTGGTAGAGGATCTGGTCGTGAGGCTTGACCCGCTGTATGGACAACTTCTTGCCGTAGTCCGATTCCGTGCCGACCCGGTTGAAGTCTCTCTGGTACAGTATACCATAGCTGTCGACGTGCGCGTCACCGCCTGCGTTGACGGCGAAAATCACGTCCTCCTTGTCCAGGCACCGGCACAGCAGCGCGTTGGCGCACATGAGCAGGACGAACAGTGGCCACGCCATGTCGTAGCCACCGGCCAACATCGRCGGGAGATGCAATGGAACACGTTACGTCGGTGGTCGGTCAGATGGTGGCTGGACGGTYAGCGACGCGTGCCATACTACCTACTAGTACTACTACCGGTGGTGTCGAGGGCGCCGGTTAGATGCGCGACGTGGCCGCGGCTCGCACACACGACAAGTCATACGACAGATTTTCGCTGACGTATTTTCCGTTTGAAATCCATTTTTGCCAACTATTCCGAGCTTAATCGAGCGCGGTGATCGACGTTGTTGGCTATTACGACGTCATGAGTCATTGCTGCAATCCTCAAGTGCCAACGCCAAAGCAACGGTATCCAAAAATATTATTTGATTATGACAGTGTGACGGTAAATTGTTATAAATAATTATTATTTTCGATGTCGCATGACAGAAGTGGTAAGAAGTGAAAATATTTAGTCGGTCGGATACCGATTTTTATCCGAGTCGGACGGTAGTCAGAAGAGGACTAGGAGGACCGAAACGAAAACGGCATCAGCCAATTATTTACATAAAGTTACATTATTAAACTGAATTATATTGAAAGTTCAAAATATTATATTAACACCTGTTTCCTGATTCATAATAAGACGTTAGACGATGGATGATGGAAAAATCTGTAAGTGGGTATACAACTTTTAAATTTATTATTTAAAATACAATTTACTATTATTGCTACTGCAATACATGATTACATGGTACAATACCGTGAAATTAAGCGAGTGGTAACTGGTGAGCGGTCCTTATCAATTTCCCACTGAGATTACTATTAAGTTGCCTATCTTTAACTCCTTGAAAACGGATAATAAATTCCCGCCATTGTTTAAATAACGATTGTGAACTTTGTTTGTTTAATCGATCACACAATATCTATCTATCCTACCTAGTGACCTATCAACAATCAACATGGATAAATAACCAATACAAAAACTTAAAAAATAGCCAAAATAAAACCAAAGGAGCCGTGATGTATGAAATCGATGAAAAACATCTAAACCTAAGCTRAAATCACATCTGCCACAATACCAACCGGCAGACTATTAACATAAGAATATATCTACTTCTTTGTTTGGTTATGATTATTATATTTGGTGCTAAGACGTTTTTTCCATTCCCCCCTCCCCGAGKGGGACTATTTCCGCCTGAACAAAAAATTTGAAGTAAAAATATTRAACAATAATATATAATGCAAATCAATAATTGTACAAATGATTATTGTATTATGTATATCATTATAAATATAACTCAATAACATGTCTTAGTAATACTATCACCGATACAAAATTAAATTATATAATTTAATAAATTTACTGTTTGCAAAAATCAAATAATGTAAGTCAAAAAAACTCAGCTAATATTTTTATWCAGGTAAGATAACTCGGAGAATAATAACGTAAAAGATAATAGTAGAGAGGTAATCGTATATTTTGAATAAAATCAAATATCGTATTCTTCAACCTAATTTAATGTGACATTAATTGGTAATCATTTAATCCCAGCTTTCAGTACTTACTATTTAAACTGATTGAAATAATTAGTTGCTATTTTTTGTACATCATAATAAAAATATAATTAAAATTATTATATACTATATAATATAGATTTTTTTTCATTATTAGCTTAGGTCGGTAACTATTGCAGCTCGAAATTTATATAATTACACTAAACATGCTTATGACAAGCATAGAAGGAAAAAATAATATTAAGACAGTAATAAGTGAAAAAATGTACAAAAATATATTAATAAATGTAAATGTAAATTAGGAAACTGATTTTCAATAATATGGGATTATAGACGATTATTTTGTCAAAAATTATTTAGTATACCGAATCACTAATATTAATATGTTACAAAATATCCTTATAGRAATTATGGAAGCTATATTCTCCGCTCACAATTGTACTAAGTWTGCTAGTTTTCACCTGTGATACTATTGTTAAAATCTTCAATTTTTTTACCTTCGTGTACATTYTACTCGAATGACTATATGGTATCTGATATTAAATTTGGTCATTACTAAAGTTGAATTAATAATTATTATGGTATAATGTATGCCTTTTGTCGTACTATCCGACCGTTCCCTTTAGATCTCATTGACTAGGTATATGATATTAATTAATATTATAAAATAATATGAATTTTTACTACAAGTATTATAGCATGTCAATGGTAACCATTTATATAAGCAAAAACAAATTCGATGTTCGTCCTTTATACTGAGATAAGCACTTTTTTTTAATGAGAATTTTGGAAAATTCTTGCTTAGCCACCTTTGCATAGTGGTACGAATGTACCTTGAAAATCTCAAGTCTCTATCATAAGTTAGGTTAGTGGTTCTCAACTGGTAGTCCTGCAGCAAAGAATTTTTTTTTATATTATAAAGAAAAAAATAAGTGGTATAGGGGCAAAGGGTGGTTATAAATAAGTCGTAGTCCGTGACAATAATGCATTAACCATTACAAGGTTCTCACTTGTTTAATCTCTTCATTGATCCGTCCTACAGTCAGGATTATTATAAATGTAGAATATATATATATATATATATAATTGGTATAAGAACGAAAATAATTTTTCATATTTATGTAGTTACACTAAACATTGATTATTATTAAAATAAGGTATAAACATTAGTTTAACTAAATAACATTTTGTTTACTATTTACTATACACACTTATGCATTGTTCGCTAGCGAAGCGAACTGTTCTGTGTGGTTAGGTGTCAAAAATATTCAGATAAGGAGATTTTGCTTTGTATTGTTTTAAATAATAATAAGGTAATTATTAAAGTTTATAATTATTTATTTTAAACATGTATTTATACTTAATAAGTTATATATAATAATAGTTGACATAGGTGCAAATAATTATAAATTATWTAAATTTGTACTAAATTAATTTTCATATTTTGTTACCATATTGTCAAAAGAATTTTTTTTAAGAAAGTAAAATTTGTGCAATATCGTTTTTATCCAAAATTAATATGAAAATGATAATTTGGCATGTATTTGTATTTTCAGCAGCATTGTTTTTKTTTCAACGAATAATTTTAAAAGGAAGTAGTTATAACAGTATGTATAATAATACGAAAATATGGAATTGCAGGTCAATTAATAGGTAAGAGTTGATAAGCATGTRCGTCACATACTTTAATAAAAACAATACAGATTTGTTTTTGGTATGAATAATAAATGTATATAAACGTTGAACTATTTATATTATATTCATAACAATTAACTTYTGCATATAAATTAACGATTTTTGAGTACTTACACGAGTCATAACGAATAAACTTAATTCTATAATATATATATTAATAAACTTAAAACATATTTTTATGATTGTTGTGATCTTTCATATTCCTTAAAATGCATAGGAATTAAAATATTAGGTACAGAACAATTTAAAAAATATTATTTGATCAATATAATATTATCARTTATCACGTATATTCGATTTCTGATTTATGCGACTGCTACTGTTAAGTAATTGTTAATACTATATAGTCTATAGTACCTATACCGGCTATACCTACTCCTATCCCTAAAAATGGTTGTATAGCGACTTAACATATAAAATAGATATAGATATACAATACATGTTATCTGAAATTGGTAAAAATTAATTTAAAGTTATGATCTTAAGAATTACAAAATCATAGTGTTTATCTGTTGAGTTTTTAATTTTGTATTATATATTATGATAATTGAGTAATATAGGTCTGACTCATGGTGGCAGATAATTTATATGATTTGTTTAAAAAAAAAAACGTAGATACTTACTTATACAGTTATACCACAAAATGTAAAAAAATGATAGCTCTAATAAGGTTGTTATTGTTTTAATAATACAAGTTAATTCACACACGAAAGGCGTATATGATGTGTTTGGTATAGATACCTATGGCTTTGCTTATTTTTACTATTACAGCACACTACATACATAGTACACACGTACACACATACATAAATACACATATTATAGGCGAGGCTGTGCGATGACATTGATGATCTTAGGCTTGAGGCTGACCAATGACAAACTGGCTCCGCCCCATAAAATCTCGCATCACTCTGCTGCCGTACCGAGGTCATCGACGATCATCATTCTGCTGACAGCAATATGGACAGCTCCGAGGGAAGACGACCAAAATGCGCGCGATGTAGGAACCATGGTGTTATATCATGGTTGAAGGGTCACAAAAAACGGTGTTCTTACAAAGAATGCGTGTGTCCGAAGTGCAATCTTATTGCTGAAAGACAACGGGTCATGGCGGCTCAAGTAAGTCAGCATAATGTCTTGTTTATTTCTCCTCTAATAATCATTATTGATTTCTGTAAGATTTGAATGCCATCAGATTTATATTGATATCATATATCTAATATATGTTATTTTAAAATAAATTTTTATATTCTTAAAGTTTTCAGGAATGAATTAAATTGTAGAAACGCCTTAAAAGCATAATTTGAACATGGTCAATATTTTTATAAAAACCATTTGATATTTGATAAAATTATCCTACATTTTCGTTGATTTAATTAAGAGAAATGTTATTATTACTAAATTATCAACCTCCTAGTTCAGTCTCATAATGTATATTTTATAACAGACTTTTTTTTTATACATTTTTAAACTAGAAAAAGCAMAAATTTTCGTATTGTATTATCTTAAAAAATAATATGTGTTAATAAATATTATTGACTATTAAACTTAAAATCAGCGAAAATATTATTTCAATTTTAAAATATTTTAGGAAAGGTTTTATTAATAGCATATTTAAAATTGAAGTCTGTTAGTTTTGTGAAAAATTAATTTAGTATTTAATTAAGTACTATATTTCCATTTATGCATTTTATTAGAAATTATTTTATTTTATAGATTGGTTGTAAAATATTAAGTATAAACATTAATGATAAATTATACATATATATTTTAATTTAACTCGAATTACTATACTTATCTAAATGATATACGATTTAAATTTAATTTAATATTATTAATTCATTATTTTTAATAATATAAAACATTAAAAATATAAATTAATTATTTGTTATTACGTATTAGTTATTCGTAGTAAGGAATTTAATTACATAGACTTTGAAATTATGTTTTAATAGCAGCGAAATTTTTTTTTCTAAATTGGTGTAAATTAATGATTTAAAGGTCGCATTAAAAAGACAACAAGCAGCGGAGGATGCTATTGCATTGGGATTGGCTTCGGTTACTTCCGGAACTAAATACGGATGCTTACCACAAGGTCCCATATTTGGTATGACTGTTCCCACATCCAAGTCTCCTGTCGGTAAGTAAATTTATATTTCCTATAGTGAGGATATGATATAAATCGTTGAGTGATTTTTAGCAAAAGAAGAAACTGCTCGACCTGAAGAAAATTCCACAGCGAATGAACAGTTATCAGATGGGGCCAAGGGAGTTGTACCACCGGGTTCTCTCGATTTGCTTTGTCGGTTATTTCCAGAGAAAAAGCGATCGGTCCTGGAATTGGTACTTCGTAGATGTGAACATGATTTATTGAAAGCTATAGAGCATTGTGTACCCTTATGCAAGTCTTTGGCAGCCACCACGAAATCTCGGAAGACCAGCACAGGTAAATACGTCAGACTTAATACCTATATATTAAATATTTTGAAAGAGCAAGGAATGTTTTATGGTTTTAAAATGGTATGCGTTTTTAATTTTTTTTCTTACATCAAATTTTGGAGAAGAATATTTTCTTTAGTCTACAACATTAAGGGTGGTTTTTATTTTCTTAGTAAAAAATGTTATTGAGCTAATATTTTGGGTAGTCAAAAATAGGAAAATCTAAGTACCTACTTTTCTTAACAGTTGGTAAAACTAATATAAAATAACTTAAAAACGGAAATAAGTACATAGTACCAATTAAAAAATAAGATATTATTTTTTAACATGTGGTTCATAAATGAAGAGTTGTACTTATAGAAACTGAAAATTATCACCTTATTTTTTATAATGCATTTTTTATAGGTACGTAAAGTAGATATTTTGATAGTTTTTGGATCTTATTGATCTATCTGTAAATGTTTGAAATGTTTGAAATGTTTGATTATTATTTTATTTTTTTTCGAAGCTTATTCTCGAATAACTTGAAAATTTAATATAAGATCAAAACATAATAATTTGAAAATTATTTATTCTCATAATTTTCTATTTTTTTATCATCTCTTCTGGATTCTCTACTCCTATCAAATGTTGGTCTTCTACGTGCAGGATCACGCCACTATTGTCTCGGTAATTCCTAGAGTCTTATGTTATCTAGTACTCAATAAAATATTTTATTTTTCATTTTCCGTTCTCCGTGCTTGACATGTCCTGTATAGTGCCCATCCAATAATTTTTCTCTTCATTATTTCTACCATAACAGGTTGATTATAGGTAAAATATATTTAAATTAATTGGTTCTTTGGTTCTACACTCAAAATTGTTAGTTTCCATATTCTATATTAAGGTGAAAAAAAGACAAATATAATAGTTGATTTGTTAAAATTAAAAATATATTCTGCACCGTAGAGATTTGAACCACATCACACTTTTCATTGGTTTGTCTGTATTGACGTTTGATGAATAATATATACGCGATGTTTTTGACAAATATTTGAACAATTTACCAAAATACCAAACAGTGAAAATACTAATAAGTACCTAATAATAAATATAAATATTAAATATAATGTAAGGTACGCTATCTTTAGAAATGGCTCATCCAACCGTCTTCTATAACCTCACTACCTCAGTATCATTTTTCGTATAAACGAGTACAATGATTCATGATTGACACATACACTATAAAGTGACATAATAGCTACTCAATGACGAGACGTATTCAGTTCTTATACTATACAGCAGAGCGTGTTCCTCGGGCTCTTTTTATACACAGACACTTTTCTTTTTAGACAATGTTGATACACCTCTGCAGACTACTACTCTTGGATCCGCATTTATGCCTTGGGGTTTACATCGTGAACCACCAGTGGCTCATCAAAACGCTCGGAGGCAGCTGGCCACTAGATTGACTTATCATGTACCCGAACCGACTACTACGTTGTTTCATCACTTTAGGTAAATATCGACATCATAAAAAGAATTGTAATTTTATTTAACTATTTTGGATATTTYCTTAATTATTAATTTCATATAATTTGCTACAAATGCTTTTTGTGATTTATCAGTTATATGAAAATACCGTTGAGTGAATAAAAAATATATGTACCCATTACTGGGAGTGTACGTTTTTACTCTTTACTCTTTAGGTACGGGTAATTATAAACTGTACGTAAACAAAATACAACATACAATTAGAGACAAATTAATTTTTAATTTTATACTMTTAGTAACTAGAATCTAGTTATAACATTTGTTCTAGGTATCTGATTTATTTCTGACAAAATATTACAGTTGGAAGCTTGAAGAGTATTTTGAAATTGTTATAAATAAATTAAGTGAATAAAATTTTCCAATTTTTCGGTTATACATAAATATGTTTATATTTTTTAAATATATAGTCAATATATAGGTAATAGACTATCGTTTAAGATGTTGAGGATCAAAAAATTAAAAATAGTTATATATATATATATATTTTTTTTTTTTAATTTTTACTAAATAGTTATATTATAAATTATAATCAAATAGTTTTAAAAATAATTTATAATATACGTATCAAATTAATTACGATTCATCCTGAATTTTGAATTAGATAAATATAGTATAATCATTAATTGATAAATGTATTTTACAAATACATTAAAAAATATTAATTTACATACCTACTAAATATTTTTTATAAATATATAAGTTTTATTTTATATTATTGATACATATTTTATAAGTCACAATATATAAACATAGACTAAATTATTATAGTATTAAATGAGAGATTTTGTATTTTTAGGACCCAATCTACTGGAGTTTCATGTGGACCGCCTTTTTATTTGCCACCGTTCTTGCTAGAATCAGCTGAATCATGTCATGTAGCCAACTGCGCTGAATGTGCATCAGCTGCAGCACAACAGATATGAAATATTTGAAATCATCATTACTGTTAATATATTTAACTAAAATGTATAAATAATTAGATATTTGAATAAGTCTTTAACTTGTATATTAACTATTATAAGTTGTATTGAATATTATAATTTAATAAATAAATAATTACAGTATATTATATAATATACCTATAGGTATTTGCATATTAATACAAAATATTATTTTAATATATTTCTGATCGTCTGAAAATTAAATTAATTGTATTCTTTAAGTCCATTGAACTCTGAACACAAATTATAATGTTCCCTCCCACACTATTTCGTGACAGAGTCAAATTAATGAAACACGGATAAATGATGACAACTCGATAAACGGACGTGTTAGCTAACAATAGTGCATTTGGCAGGAAACAAAAGAATTTCTGGACTATCTTCAAAACAGTAAGAAAAGTTATATTTGTGTTTGTGTATACGTGTGTGTCCACTTTGACGAGTTTTAGAACATCATTGTGATTTGTTAATGATTTTAATACGTCATTAATTTATGTGAAATGAAAATACTTTGTAAACACTCATCACATTTTTATTGAAACAGAATACAATATTTTAGACGTAAAATCAGCAGTTTTATTCGAGTACTGAATTACTAAATTATTTAAATTATTTACGTTGTAAGTCACATTGTGTCAGTAAAATATGTATCGTAATTTGAAAATTCGTGTCCAATAATGTTATTCAAGCAATAGAATATTTATATGGGGTTATATTGGTTATATATTTTAATGGTAATAATGACAACTGAACACAATAAAAATGATACTAACGCTTTTTCAATATAATAACGTTCAWCATGTATTATATTTAACAACGAAATCTTGGATTTTAAATACMCCAGCGAATTATTGTACACAAATCACTGGTTACCATCAAATACCATTATACCAATCAAAACAGTTAGCATTAACATCTGTGGTTTGTATACACATCGCAGCACGACGAAATGAAAATTGAAAAAGAGTATGATTATGGAAATAAAAAAAAACAAATTTTATTATCTATTCACCTTAGCTCCAGCCACATGGTTGTTGTATCTAAATCACAGAAGGCCAGGGCACGGCTTGCAGGAGTCCTTTAAAAAATTGCTATTCGTAAGTCATTTAATGACTTTGATCAATTTTATTTTTTGGTATTTGATACAAATATGCGAAGCTTATAAAATAAATCATTTCAACTAGGTAAGTACATCATGGCTCTTATTATGTGTTCCTTTAAACTGTGCCCACAACAGTTTATAGTAAACGTGTGCGGGTAATTTCTTAAACATATTTATGKTTTTGCTAAGTTAGAAAATCTATAGGACATCAACCTGAAGCGCGTAAAACGAACTCATCCTTGAGGTCTCGTTGCGCTGTATAYCCTACACCCACACTAATCTAGAACTGACAGCACAGCATTATTGTGATAATTGCACGCGAACCAATGTATCGAAATAATGTCGTAAATCGGTTAAAGACGTGTGTGACGGTGTAATGTGACGTTGTATATCATGTACAACGCGAATTTCGCTGGTAATCGCTTCCCACACACTGTATGGTATAATATAGTCTGCGCTTCACGACGACGTCTTATTGTGGTCGTATTAATAAGTTATATGTTTGCTTTATGCGTGCGCAGGGATTGTCAAAAGTATAATATAAGTATAATAATATGACGTTTGTCAAAGTAGTGTATATAATTGCCTAGTGTCGATGTATGAACCATCATCTGGCACAGACAATATCATCGTGTACATCGGTGGCGGCGAGGAAGGCGTCTCGGGCGGGTAGGATGGGTGGGACCAGAGGGGGGATACCTAACAAAAACTAAGCCATCGAGAACAAAAATCTCAACAAGTACTATCACGTCTATATATATATATATATATTATTTCCACCGCCGTCCTATATGTACATTATATACCTCTAAGGTCTTCGTCGGACCCTCGGGGTATGACTGCAAATTCAAAAACAAACACTGCCGCCGCGGTAGTACTATCAATCAGATGCACCGGCGGCGACGTTGAATTTATATATATACATATATATTTTTATTTATATATTATATACACACACTTGTGTGTTTGTACGATCGTATAAGATTTCATGTGTGTATTTAATATAATATAATATGTGTATGCGTGTTTGGATATCGCGTTAACGTCGTGGGTAACTTAATAGTCGCGTGTGTTTACATTCAATTTCACGGGACGTTTGATCGAATAACCGGCTTCCTATTCCACCATATCCTCGCGGGCCGGCAGCGAGGAAAACGGATTTCCTCGTCCGGCCAGGGACAAATGATTTTTAATTCCGCGACACCACGCTCGCGTGTAATTGATATACCTATGGGGATCGAAATTCTTCTACGTTTATATTTTCCCTTTTTCTTTCCTTTTATTATTATTTTTTTTTTTTATCACTCTATCCTTGTCAAAACCGCCGAGGCGACGTCGAACGAGAGAAAACCGCACTTATTATTTCATCCCTCTGGAGGAATYGCCGGAAAATCACACAGACCGGGTGGTCCATTAGCTGTTGCCGCCGCGCCTCAGGTCTGATTGACAGCCACTGACACTCGTTTGACACACGTTTAGAACAAATGCGACTTGTCTGATATAAGAAAAAAAAACCACCGCATGGAAATAATAATATTTGTAGTTGTTTATTTATAATGAAAGCAAATGTTCGGATAAAAGGAAATGTGTTTTTAAATGTGTTTACCGTTTAGCCGATGCCTCATCTGCCGCCCAAATAATGTACAAAATGCGTTGGCATTAATGTAACGGAATCTCACATTTACATGTTTTTGTGTGTATATGCGGCACAGTTCGAACAAAAGTGTTYYGCATATATAAGACGTCATAATAACTCAGTGTTTATTAAACCAGAGTCGCTGTGAAAACTGAAAGCGTAACATCATAAGTCTGGTATATACGATATTTCGTTGTATAATATAAGTTTACGAAAATGTAATTTATTTACTTGAAACTAAATTAGCTGGTAAATATTCAATTCATAGAAGTTTAGTGTAAATTATATAGCATAACTAATTTTTCAGCTTTTGGAATCCATAAAATGTAAAGTTTAATATACGTGACATTATTTGCGTATTTTAATTTTGTCTTCAGTGAATTCTATTTATTTTTATATCGGTATAGGTAATGAAAAATAATCAATCAACACTCAAACTGCAGTTTATGTAATATTATATATCGACATATTAATAATAATGAATGTGTTCAATTTTTATTTTACAATTTTTCAAGTAGGTAGTTATAAACGTGATTAAAATGTATACATATTAATGATCATACGCAAATAAAGTAATAATAATAATAATTTATTAACAACAAAATACATTATGTTGTGTGCTATTTAAAAAAACCATTAAAAATTATTTCGTTAAAAATATAGGTAGGAACACGGAATTTAAGTATAGTAATAAAAATATTAAAATAATAGTTTTAAGTTTTAATCGTTGCATATTATTTATTAAACTTTATGCATATAGGTACGTTCATTGAACTATATTGAAGTATTTTAAATATCAATATTAAACAAATTATTATGATATTGTTGATTTATTAAATTTTAAATACTTTTGACGAACTGGAATTTTTTTTATAAATTGAATAAACGCGTCAACCAAATTGATATTGTGAGTACTAAAAATTAGCAAAATGTAATATATTATTAGCTCGTAAATTTCTCTAAATTTGATACTAAATAAATAAAAAATCGTTGTATTCAAAATGCTAAAAAGTATCAAGTATACAAATATATACAAAATAAGTTTGCAGATTGAAATCTTAACTTCATAAATAGACTTTATAACTTATATAATATATAATAACAAATCATACATTAAATATAAATGGGATTATGTAAAAAAAAAAATATATAATAATAAACATCTGAGTTTTATTGTGACATTATTATCAAAATTATATTAAAGAGCTAAAAAAAAAAAATATGAAATATTTTTTTAACCTAACTCTAGTAATTATAAAGGTGGCATAAATACATTTTCTTACAGTAGGGTGAGGAAATTAGACTTAGTTTTTTAGTATAAAAAATCTAGTGTTAAAATTATATTAAAACAATATCCTTGCAATAATGACATAATTATTAAAAATGAAACATTCATTTCTACTTTATAGGATTTCTGAAATTAGTTCAAAATATTATAGTATCAACTAGATCTATTTCAGTATCAGAAACCGTCAAAGTTAAAAAGTAAATTGAATGCAGACACGAAACATTTATTTATTATTACTTAGTGTTAAAAAAAAAGCGGATAAGTCGTGGATGTCACTCTGCTGTACAGCAGGTTACAAGTGGAGTACTGTAATCGATGGAATTAAATTTGAATCCAATGATATATTATATCATTGTTTACGAAAAACGATTCTGAGCGGAGACGGTTTATCGGTCTAGGATATATTATAAATTATTATCAACTTTCAAATCTTAGATTTAAAAAGAAAAACTTGTATGAATTTCTATTTAAGATATAATTTGAACATTGCCGTAATTTTTACGTATTTAGTCAAAATTTGAACTTTAAATGCTTATAAAAAAAAACACCTATTTAATGTACCAGTTCAAGAACATTACCTTTCAAAAAATATGGTACACTCGATACTTTTGAGCAAGTTTAATGGGAGAATAAGTGTTTACAGAATAAAAAAGAAAAAGAAATAAACAYCATTGTAAAACCAATATTCATTCTTCGTTCCGCTCAGAATCTAAAATTATATGAGCATTTAACAAACGTATTTATAATTTATGTTAGTAAAGTTCTAAAAATTATAAAAATATATTAACAAATGATTAACCTTAATCATTTTTGGAGACCTATAATACGCATAAAACGCAAATCAAATTATAAATACATAGGTAGTCTTTTAACACTTTGTTATTCTGGTCTGTTTATAATGAACACTTAAATTTACGTTAAAAGAAACTCTAAAATCTTTCGAATACACCCTATTTTAACTATTTTTTGATATTTTAAGCATCAATATTTGTTATAGGTACTATAA